CTTAAAACAGACAAATTCAACAAATATTCAAATAGTGTAGGTTTATTCATGAACAAGAAGAAAACTAAAGTAATGAGAATAAATCAAAAGAAAAATGACAAAATTAAAATCGAAAATCACGAAATAGATGACATAGAATCATTTAGCTATTTAGGTTCTATTGTAGATAAAAAAGGTGGAAGTAGCGAAGATATTAGACAGAGAATAATCAAAGCAAGAACATGTTTTAAGGGATTACATAAATTTTGGAGAGAGTCAAATATTGAAATAAAGACAAAAATAGTTGTTTACAAAGCTATTGTTAGAGCAGTACTATTATATGGCGCAGAAACCTGGAAACAGACTAAGATCGAAATACAAAAATTAGAAACCTTTCAAAACAAATGTTTAAGATTTATTTTTAAAATTTTCTGGCCTTACAAAGTATCAAATCAAAATCTATTAAAGAAAGCTAAAATAAAAACAATCGAAGATGAAATTAAAAAACGAAGATGGAGCTGGCTCGGACATATCCTTAGAATGCCCAAAGAAAAAATTTCATCTGTTGCGCTTACATGGGCCCCTGATGGTAAGAGAACAAGAGGAAGACCCAGACTTACCATCCAGCGCATGTTTTTGGGCGAATTAAAAGAATGTGGAATATCTGGCTGGGAGGAAGCAAGATCTATTGCTAAAGACAGGAGGCGTTGGAGGGATATGCTGGAGGCCTTAAGTGCCCAAGGCACGTAGAGGATAAGTAAGTAAAGTAAGTAAGACGGGGGTCTAGTCACTGAAATTATAAATGAATCATCATGTGTTGCAATCTTCAGAGAGTTTCAGTATGTTGTTTTCAGTCTATTGTGACATCACAGTCTATACCATGTAAAGGCATACTCTCAACCCAGGAAAAACAGGTAGTTTGATTTAAAACTTAACATTTCACATGACAAAATTTATCTCCAGCCCTAAATATTCATTCGCCAATAGCGGGCTGGCGATTTGAAATTTCTCACCCTGAACTAGATAATTTGAGAGAGGAAACAATTTTTTGACACTTTAATAAATCTCGCAAGTTAAACTGCACACAAGCTAGATAAACTGTAAAATAACTGATTACACACTTTAGTGATAACAGATACATCCATAAAATACGTTAAAGAAACCAAATATTGAATTTATTTTTTACCTTCATCATTTCCATTGACAATAGAGAATTGAAGTCTTCCATTTGGAGTGAGAGGATCATCAGCATCGCTTGCAGAAACCATGAAAATGGTGTCACGAATTCGGTGGAATTCAGTCACTGTGGCACAAACTTCTTGCTTAACAAAAACAGGAGGTTCATCATTCACGTCAATAACATGCACTGTAATCTGTAAAGAAATGCAGTTGATCTTTTATTACAATATAACAAATTGTTGTTTCATTCCTCATATAAAAGCAGTCTAAACCTCGTAATATGATAAATGTTGATGCACTCTATTGCACAGTAATTAGCGATTAAAAAATTGAAAGTCATTTTAGAAAAAATAAAGAAAAAAATTTCTCAAACTTTAAACTTCAAAACAAGTCTATAAAGAAATTTTCAGAAAAAATCAGGGATTAGTATTTGTTTTAAAAACAATAAGTTGTTAAAAAAGAAACAAACTATAACACAATTAGCATATTATTTTGCTCTAATTGAAATTGTTTTTTTAATCTGATAATTTTTTTTTTTGTAGTTAGCAATATAACTAGATTACTACTCCGGTGGCAGGGTTAACGGGGGAAAGAGGGGGCACCTATCCCTGGGTGCAGCCACAGAGGGGTGTCAAATTCATAAAAAAATTATTAAGAATAAAAGGCTTCTCTCTTTTATACAGATTCAATTTAATTTGCTAATTGCGGGTCTTATAATTTTTATACATTTTTGCTCGATTTACCAAAAAAATTAATATGATGTCTATTAATATTTTAGTTTGCTTGTACGCAGGTTTCTTTTAAGATATATATATATATATATATATAGATTTTTTGCGGACATGTATGATTGGGGAAACTACATTAATAACACTCACTGATGAATTTAAAACTAAATTGAGAGAAAATTTAGTTATTAAATTATGCTGTCTTAACGTTATAATTAAGCAAAATTTTTCTCAATAAAAAGTTAGAAAAAAACCCCATACCCAAGTGCGGTAGATTTAAGTTTTGACTTTATCTGAAACTTAAAATGGATCCATAAAAATCCTTTTTGAAGTCCCAGGTGCTGTTGAGGTTAGCTCTGTTTCTGCACAGTTTAAAGTTTTTAAAATGCAAGCACTCAAATGAAATGGTAATAAAAAAGCTAAACAGTTTTTATTTTTTAGCAAAATAAGAAATTTTTATTATAGTAAATACTGTGTCAAGCTATACATTATGATGAAACAGAAGCTTCCTTCTGGTATAATAAAATTTGTCACTTTTTTCACTAATTATTTTGTTATTTTAAAAAGAATTTAATAAATTACTTGTTTAAAGGCTTTTCGACTTTCTCCAGTAGCGAAACCATAATCATAATTATCCCAAGCTTGAACAACTAGTGTATATACATCTTTATCTTCTCGATCCAAAGGAGAAGCAACAGTGATGGAACCCTGAAACAGATCAACATAAAAATAATTAAAATGAAGATAATTTATGAATAATTAATGGTATCATATGATTTTTCACATAAAACAAAAATATAGCTTAGAATAAAAGAAAATTAAAAAAAAAGAAAAGAAAAAAAGAATAGATTTTGTGATAGATAAAAAGGTATCCAAGTATACACTGACAATATAGGTCAATTGTTTTTTGCAGTGCAAATATGTTCAGGAATTGGAAAATTTTGCAGTGCAATTTCATTTTTAAAATAAAATATTTGATTTGAATATATCATTCATTAAAAAAAACGGATCAAATTGAACAAAGAGAAATAAAAATCTACTGTATTCTATATAACTTTTCCCCCATCATGAAGTAAAAAAATAATAAAAAACCACACAATTAAAAAAAAGAACACATTTTAAATGAAGAAGCAATAAATAAGTTTTCAATCCATTTAATTTTAATTAAAAGTAGATTTCTAAAAACTCAATTTCACTGATCCATTCTCAAATCTTCAATTTTAGTACTACCTGGCGTAAATCTTTTTAATTAGTATTTCTACATTGAATATGATATGAGAACGGGAGATAAAGTGAATTACAAGCAGCATGTATTTAGTATGAATAAACACTCAATGAAACATTTAGAGTTCAATTTATCTTATAAACTTCAATAAAAAACTTTATAAGTCAGTTTCATTATATTTGTGTAAAGTTTATATTTCATATAATTTTAATTTTAAAACAGATATAATGTTATTACCGTCTCTTTATTTATTTTGAATCTCCCTTGAGTTGATGATGTGTCTAGAAGGTATGTGATCTTTCCATATTCCCCCACATCAGCATCTGTTGCCTGAACTAAAGCAACTTCAGCCCCAATCGTAATGTCCTCGGCCACAGAAAAATCAGAAGCACTATTTACAAAAACCGGATTGTTGTCATTTTCGTCTAGTACCTGAAAGTGAATTGAAATAAAATGAGTTGAAATAAAATGAGTTGAAATCAAAATGTGCCCAGAGTGAAGAATGATTGTTAAAATACATCATTAGATTGTTTCATGAGATATGTTCCTTTTTTTTTATAAAACAGTTTATTTGGAAATTGTGCTTGCTTGGCAAGCAATTTGTAAAAGTTTTGAGAAGTGTGCAGTTTTTGGGTACTTACAATTTCAATTATAAAATTTTAGGTAAAATGAAATGATTTAACATTAAAGTGACCAAAGTAACTCGAAATTAAAAATTGTAAGGGTAACACTGTTTTGGGTGTTCAACTTAACGTTACATTCTGTTTTGTTGCGCGAAAACTGTAAAACTTAAAAGCTCGAAATTAAAATGGGCTGTAGTAAAAAATACAGGGACTGCAACAGAATAAAAATAATTAACACTCAACAATAATTAGTTTGAGAATTATTAAGTGTTAAACTTGTACGAAGAAATATCATGCTTGGTCACTCTGCAGATTGCTGAAATGCAACTCTGGAGCAAACATTTGATGCGCTGAAAAAAGCATTTTTATTTCTGAACTTAGCACAAACTCTTTTAAAATTCTAGATTTTGCAAAAGTTGCAAACAAGCAACTTTTGAAATTTCGTAATTTTTGTTGAGAATTTAAGTACTTCAATTTAAATAAATTTTTTCGCATTTTGCAATTTTAAATTCAGTTTTTTTTGCTTTAAATATTAACTATTTATCCATTTGCTGAAGAAAAATTATTTTTCTGTCAAGAGATCTTTATTTCATAAGCTCGTGTTTGATAGATGATAATCAAAAGTAGCACAAAAAAAGAGGGAGAGGTTACATGTTGCCAGTAACAACAAAACATTTAAATTTTCAAAAATAAAATTGTTAATGAAGAGTGATAAAAACCGTTCCCTATTTGAATTCTTATAAGTTTTCTCAATGAATAAAAGTACTTCTAATTTACTAGATTAAATGATTTTAAAGTACTGATGATTATTTTTTGAATTCAGGTAATCATCTATTTTGTAACAGTTAACAAATTTACTAAAATGTTCTGACATAAGGCTATAATAATTTTGAAAACAAAATGCTCTGTCTTCTTGTGAAAAATATTGAAAAAACAAAAACAATGATATATGAGAAGCAATTAGAAGGTTGGCAAGTGGAGTTTTATAAAAAAGCAATTTTGCTTATCACAATGTATACATCACATTCATTGCTTGTATACACTACGAAAATTATTTTTATTTCAAAAAATTTATGATATGCACTCATTGTAGTTACAATATTCAATATGCAAACATGAATCTAGCTTAAAATCTTGAATCTAACTTTTTCAATTCATAAAATACACAAACAACACTATTTTTGATGAGTATATGAAATTATACTCAATTTTGTAAAAAAATCTTTTATAAATTTTTAAAATTTTGCAACAGATTATCTATTTTTTTTAAAAAAAAACTGTTGATTTAGAACTATTATTTTTAGAATTTTCATTACTTTGTACACAGAGTAAGCCTTAACGGCTTAATGGTTAAAAGCATGTTATGCTTTTAATAACAAGGCAGAAATAAAATCAAAATTCTCAAGTTCAAAAATAAATTGATTTCACAAATGTATAACTTTGAAATAACGATAAAAATAATTACTTACTTGAATAAATACATCAGCAGCACCAGAAAGAGAAGGAATTCCATTATCAGTAGCAATTACAGTTACATTTAGCCAAGAAAACATCTCACGATCTATTTTATTACTTACACTCATTTCTCCTAAAAAATATTTGAGTTAATTTAAAATTGCTTTTAAGCATCATAAAGGAAAGCTTTACCAAAGAAAAACGATTTAACTCTGATTTTTATTGCTTTATAAGCTTAAAGAAAGATTAAAATAAAAATACTACTAATAATTTATTAAATAAAATATAAATTATTATAACAAAAAAAATAATATATAAATAAACAAAAATTTGTTTCGCTGACAATGAACAGTAGCAAAAATAAATGTAAATATACATTTTTTTAAAAATTTTATAACATTTAAAGAAAACAATGGTTTTTAAATAATAATTAAAACATCTATATTAAAATATTTTGATTTTAAAATCAAAAATGAATGAATTTGATTTAGATATTTTTCTTCAGCATCATTATAAATTAATGCAGTTTCAATATTGTGATGAGAGTTACATAAATTAGAGTATTAAGATTTTTTATGGCAGCAGCAAAGAATTATTTTTATTAAATAAGCTACAGTTTGTACTTGTTATGATATTGTAATTTTATCGCTTTCTTTTTAAACAGACGTTGTTATATTAATAATGGCAATGGTAGATGAATCTTTTTCGGACCAACATTCTTGATTTTCTCCAAAACAGAGTTAAAGGGAATAGGACATTTTAATACAAGATTTATTATGTCCTGTTGACAAGAAAAGTTATAAATTTTTTTTTGATTGTACTATAGTATTTTTTTTAATATAGAATATTAATATTCTATAGTAATTAGACAAATACAGTTTTGAAAATTTACATACACAATTATTCATTAAACTTTATAAACATTTTAATAAAACTATCATAAGCACCTTTATTCAGATGAATGTGCCTGCAGTTTGAAGACATAAAAATATATTTTACTACTTATTTCATAATAGAGTAGGAATATTTAATCTTACCTTCAAATATTTAATTAATAATGACTAAATGTAATAAAAAAAGTTTATTAACTGTAACTATGTAAAACTTTTTTGCTAAACTATTCTATAAACTATATTTGTAATATGTGTGAAACTAATATTTAACGGAACAGAAGATAAATGATAGACTCAAATTGGACATTAGGAAAAAAATTGTTTTTAAAATTCAAGAATTATTTTGAAGTTTGATTCATTCCTCGCATGAACAGTTAGTTTTTGCACATATAACTGCAAATACAACATTTAAATTATAAATATACAGATATAAAAACATTTAAAGGTAGCTCACACATTTGAACATCTGGAGAAAAGTGATCTGGGGAATTATTTAAAAAATCAAAAATCAGAGCTTAAAAATTACATCTTAACATGATAAAGAAATAACAAAAATTGCTTTATGGATACTATTTTTAAAATAATAATTGCAAATAATTTAAATCTATAAGATTTGTCAAAAATTTAATTATATTTATGACTTAAGAATAATTGGGGTAATTCAATTATTGCAGACTTTTTTTATTAAAAAAATAATTTGTGACAAAGGCTTTTAACTTGTAAGCTATGGTGACAACACATAATTGCGATTTCTGTGTACTGATGAATTGTGTATACTGATGATCAACCGTATATTCTCAGTAATAAAAAAAGTGTTAAAAATGTTTAGTGATAAAAAAAGTTTGTTATTTAGTTACTTATTTAATGCTTATTATAATCAAATAATTATAACAAAGAAAATTTTTTATAGTCAAATTTATTTTATCATAGCATATAAAGAAAATTTTAAACTTTCTTTTACTTTGAATTTCATTTTTCATACAGTTTTGAATTTCATTTTTTCTAATGTTTATTATGATAAAATTAATAAGCTTTAACTAATCATTTTACAATATATTTTGCTAAAATGTTGCAAAACAAACCCACCTGTAACTGGATGAAGCCACAGCAAGCCAGTAGTGTCTACGAAGAAAAAGCACGAAAGAAAAGAAAAGCATTGTTAGCATATAAGCCCATAAGCCCGTTACAATTTTAAAATTAGCATGTTAATAGCCAAATGAGATATATAGCTTGCATCAGCTATAAAAATTAATGCAGAATTTAATTTTATGGATTGTACCAAATAAATCATTACTTCCTCTTACTAATACAACAATTAATTTGCATCAATATGTAACTAATATGTTGATTAATTTTACTAATTTACTGAATAAATATATCAACTTGATAAAAAATTTCAAATTTGTTAAAATAATTTAATACTATTTTCTGATGCAAACTATATATACGATTTATAACATGAATATTATATATTAGCAGCATTAGGTAGCTTGCAATTAGCTCCAAACTTATATAAAAAAATTTAGATATTATTATTTTGGTATTTTTAATAAGTTTAAATTTGCATTGTAATAAAAATAAAACAATTTCCTTACATAATAATTTACTTATTGTTAGTTCAAAACATTGAAATATACATCACGTAAGAATATGAAAGAAACCAACACAATTATACTAAATAAGATTAAAAGGAGAGCAGGTCAATATGTTAAATTAATTATCAGTATTATTAGCTAGATCATTAGAAACATTTCTTTATTAAAAAGAATCTAAAGATAAGTACATGCCATATTATTATTTTTAAAAGAACTGCAAAGGCTAAACTGCTGAATGAACATAGATATTCCATTATTGTAAAATAAATAAATCCAAACCTACTTTTCAAAATTTTGCTTTTAACTAAGCTATTTCAAAACTTGGATATTACTTAGTGTAAAGTACTTTGAATTAAGTTTCTATTGTTCATGTACTTTGAGAAGTACTTGAATAATAGAAACTTAAAGCAGCATCATTACCAGTTTTAACTATAGTTGGGAAGGAAAAAAAATCAAAGGTTTCGAGATCATATTTAGCAAATGTGAGTGTGACACAGAAATTTTTTTTTGGTTTGTTAAAAACAACAGATCATTTTAATTTTGAAATAAATATAAGCTTGCTTTTAAAGCATAACTAGATCGCTCTTATTAATTAATAGTACAAAAAATAGTAGCCAATGGAACATGCCTGCGAAGATGAAAATCTCAATTTTTCAACTAACATAGAAAAAGAAATAATATTTCAAGTCACTGTCGAAGTCTAAAAGCCATTGTTTATATTATAAAGCATTATTTTTAACAAAGTATTGGCAACATATTATACGAAATTTTTTTTTTGTAAAATAAAAAGTAAATAAATTGAAAGCTCAAATTAGTTTACAAAGAAGCTTGGAAAAAGTATTTCAGATAGAAATAAAAAATGTAGTGTAGAAAATTTCAATGTACATATAAGAAACAATAACATTTTCAACTAAATTTTATATTCGTCAACAATTAGGAGATTACATTAAGATATTTATTATCAAAAATGATATACAAAGTTAAATGAACTAAAACTAATATTTATTATATTTGTACAGAAATATTATTTTATTTGGACACATTTTCTGAGAATAAGCACATTAGTTCACCAAAATAATATAATAATAATGATAAAAACAAGCATGATAAAACTTAAATTAAAAGCATTTTTACAACTGATAAGTTAAAAAAACTAGATAAAAATCTTTAATTTAAAAAATCATAAAAAAATGATCATAAATAAAAAATTATGTTCTTTATTTTTTCTCAGCCAAAATGAATTAACTATAAATCTAATTTTTATATAAAAAGAAGAATAAAACTATTACAAATAAAATATTGAAGCTATAATTTTTCTAGTACAAACATAAATTATAATTTTTGGAAGTAATATTAATTAAGAAATTATTTTTGAGTAAAATATCAATGAGGACAAAAATTGCCTTGATTTAAATCAACAAAACAACATACCAGATTTTTTATCCATTCCAACAAGACCAATAATATCAGCATCTCCCTGAAGAGAGTAAGTCAGAGATCGATTTTTGTCTGCATCTTCGGCTACAACAGTCACAATCGGAGAACCAGGTTTCGTATTTTCTGTAACAGCTTGTCTGTAATACCGTTTCTGAAACTGGGGTCTGTTATCATTCACATCTTCAATTTTTATAGTTAGTGTAGCTGCAAAAATTACACCATTCAAAAGTTTAGAAAAATGAATGCTTATTACTCTAATATAGTCAAGCTTATTACTTTAAAATAGTATCTAAAAATAGTCAAGCATAAAAAGTGAGCTGGTGTTTTAAACAAAATGAAACAAACTGTACTTTTCTATCCCTTTTAACTAATTATCAAATAGCTGTCAATCCAAGGAAAGAAAAAAAGATTTTACAAAATAATAAAAATTTTAATATATCAGTTGCATAATATACAAAATTTTTTAACAGAGAACTCTTAGGATTTTTATAGTCAAGAAAATATAAAAACTATATTTCACTGATAACTATTAATTTAATTTGACGACAATATTTAGTATTTATTATCCGCATTAAATGAGCTTAGTCACAAAATGTTTATGATATTATTGGATGTAGAACTAAAATCGTAGTAAATTCTTAATTCAACAAAGAAGATCATAATTTTTTTTAATTTATTAAAAATAGTAAGTTAAGAATAAAAGAAAATCTAAGAACATAAAAAAAGAAACTTTAAATTGATGATTTTAAATGAGATTGGCTCATTATTTAAAAGTAACACTTAATTTAAATACTTAAACAACTAATATAGGATATGAATTTTTTTCAGAAACTTAATTAATTTTAAGAAATTTTCTAATATGGTAGAGAAGGGCCGATTTACCAGATTGTCTAATTACCCTGATCGTTCAAGGACCTGTGTTTTTTCCCACCTTCTCAAAAAACAACAACTTTTTTTCCTTGCAAAAATTCTTTTTTTTCTTCAGAATATCTTAAAGGGGAAAAAATGGCTTATTTTGCCCTTTGGTGACCTTGAAGAGCTTTGTTCATTAGTTTCAATGTGTGTGGCAATTGGCAAGTAGTTTTTAGTAAGGGAACTAATTTTTTCTAAAGTGAATTAGTGAAAGGAGGTGAAACACGTTTGAAATGCTCTTTTTCAGTCTTGAAACAAGTTTTGTACGTCAATTTTGTAAAAAATAGACTGTTCAAAATAGAATGGTTTTAACATAATTGCCAGTCTTAAGCTTGCAAAGCTAATGAAGAGAAGTTACTTAATAACATTCTCATATTCGATTTTTATAGTTGTTCAATTATCTGGATTTTTTGTTATCCGGATCGGCTTTGGTTCCAATTGGTGCAAATAATTGGTGTTCTACTGTATATACAGAATTTTTGATTAAATTAGTAAACCAGAAGAAGCTAGCAAAATCCAGTAGAGTTGGCAGCTATAGGTAATATTTTTAAAGGCATTTGGTACTTCATTGGTAACAGAAATTTCACAATTCTTTAAAAATGCTAAATTTATAATACATACCCGTTGAAGTCTGTCCTTTTGTAGCAGCAGCAAGATCTTCTACTTTAATGACCAGCCTCATTATCTCCATTTTTTCTCTATCTAGAGGTTTGGCTACAGATACAGTGCCATCAACAGCATTGATAGCAAACAGGCTGTTGTAGTTGAATTCTGTTGGTGTCACTAAAGCCCCTTCCTCAGTTCTGCCCTCATTTGAACGATGGTCTATTGAGAATCTTAGTACAGGCCTCTCGTCTGCATCAGTTGCTGATACTCTTGTAACTATTGTTCCAACTTGGGCGTCTTCAGACACTGTAACCTATTAGAAAAAGAGTAAAATTAAACTAGGGTACACATAATTTTTGTTATCTCAGATCAGAAATATGTTAGAGATGGCAAATTTGTTAAAATACATTACTATATATACATATAGATATATGTTACCCTTTCATGCTGAGTTATCTTTTAGGAACATAATATCGGATATTAGTTCAATTCTAATCCATCAGATTTTCATTTGCAGTCGATTTTAATACTCTTTTTGTATAATGAAGATTCCCTTATAATTTTTATGTCATATTTATTCAGAAAAAAGAGTACAGAAATTAAACTAGTACTTACAAATGTACATGGAGCAGAAGCTCCTGAAGACAAGTTTACAGATTCATTTTCAAAAGACAAGTGCATACTTTTTTAACATGGAGAATATAGTTATTATTTCTTTCATGTCATGTGATCAATAATATCCAGACTTAGTTGTTAGTGTTGCGCCGCAAGAAGTAATCATAAGACAGGATGAAGATGTATTAAAATCTCAAAATATTTATTAAATAGAATGACATTTCAGTTTCATAAAGAGCTTTTACTGCACAGTATGGATTCATAATAAATAATTAATGATAATATATACGCGAAGTGTTTCGTTTACTATGTGAAAGAGATTATTTACAGTTCTCATCTGTTAGACGGGCTAATCTACAATTAAAATATAATTCTTTTAAGGTTTAATTTTAAGATTCCTTTAATTCTACTAAGCTATTATTTTAGATGTTACATATATATAACACAATAAAAGAGACAAAATGATTTAAAATAAAATGCAGTTCTGCATTTCAGTAAGTATAATTTTTTTTTCCTTCTAAATTTACCTGTTTTGGATCAATGAACTTTGGTGCTTTGTTGTTAACATCCATAATTGAAATATTTACAGGTACTCTACTTTGTTGCTGTTCAATACCAATACCACCATCAAGTGCAACAACATCTAACAAATAATAATTTGACTTAGGTATAGTCCTATCTGGATCTAAATTGGCCCCACGTGCAACACTGATAACACCTGTATTTGCATCAATCACAAACTTGTCTTGAGCTCCAGACTGAATTCTATAGACCACTTGACTATTTGCCATGGAATGGTCTCCATCCAAGGCTTTTACCTGCACCACTGATGTACCAGGATCTATATCTTCAGGAATGGATTTACCATAATAGGGCTGCACAAATACCGGCGGAAAATCATTGACATCCTGAAAACAAATATTGACAATTTACAAAAAGATTGTAAAAAATAGCATTGGTAATAGCAATTTACATGAATTAAATAAAAAAATTCTAATCGGTATAAAATAATATTTTACAATACAAAAACACCTTACTCAAACTCAACAATGTCTTATAACATTGTATTATAGCAACTCTGTAGCTACCAAGCGATGCCCTGTGGTGCCACCTATGTCCTCACCACCGAGACTCAGTTCAAGTTCAGATATGAAACCTTAAACATGACTTTTCCCCTATCCCCGAGTTTTCTTAAATTTTAATTCTTTCTTTTACTTTTTTTCAAATGTAATTTATGTCTTTAATTGGTTTTTATTAANCCTATGTCCTCACCACCGAGACTCAGTTCAAGTGCAGATATGAAACCTTAAACATGACTTTTCCCCTATCCCCGAGTTTTCTTAAATTTTAATTCTTTCTTTTACTTTTGTTCAAATGTTATTTATGTCTGTATTTGTGGTTATTAATTAAAATTCTTTATTAAGTGTACTTTTAGTCACTTTTGTCGTAATTTACAACATATTTGAGCTAGCCGATATTCCGCTACACTACAATATTAAAATTTCTTGAAAAGTAATAACTTCCATCAAATTTGAAAAACAAAAGTGTTTAATTGTAGGATACCTCAGAATTGAATGATTCCACATTTAACCAATCTTTATAAAAGTTTCAATAAAAAAAATACTACAATAAATTTACAAAGTATTTATTTTAAATCTGAAAATAATATTTTGAATTGCTATTATTGATAAAAACATGCAATTACATGACAACATACATAGAGGGATGCCAACTTGCTCCGGACAGCAAATAGATATTTTCAAGGGGTAGTTTATCAATTGCAATTCTTGGTTTAATAAATTTAATTTAGTAGATTTTTATTCACCACTATTTCTAAATACCTCGTAGGCTTATATAATTCACCACTTTATTGCATTTTCGTCATGCTATACCTCTTGAAAAGCAAGCAAACATAGTCAAATATCTTCTTAAGTACTTCTAGTTGATTTTATTCTTTTTTTCAAAGATTATGGATTGTTTTCTCACCTGCACATATACTGTAACAGGAACATCACTATAAAGAGATGGGGTGCCCAGATCATAAGCTCTAACTTTTAACTGGAATGTTCTGATATCACCGTTTTCATTTGACATTTTCTCAAAATCAACCATGTTCCTAGGCCGGATTTCACCAGTCAGTTGGTTGATGCTGAAATTCTTGTGTCGGTCCCCATCAACAATTTGGTATCTTACTTGACTGTTCGAAGAACCTCTCAAATCGTCATCTTGAGCCTAAAGAAATATTTATTTTAATACCATGCATTTCTTTCCTGTGCAATGAAACTAAAAACAATTTTTTAACCAATATTTTTTCTGCAATATTTACTTAGGAGAATATGTATGTAATTGTAAAACCTGATTCAGTTTAGACAGTTTTATAATGAATTTTAATGTTTTCTAGCAAAGGGCATACACATTGTATTTTTACTGATTTTCATTTACATTTTAAGATTATACATTCATATTGCATTTATTTATTAGAGTACATTTATTAGATACACTTTGCGTAATTTTGAGAGGAAATGTATTTTAATCATAGATTAAATATTGCAATAAAACTAAAAAGAGAAAAAAAAGAAAGAATATTACAACAATAACACTTATTATTAAATATAATGAAATCTATTTAATAAGTAAATAGAAAAAGTTGTCTAAAACATTGGTGGAATTTAAATGAATTCCAATGCTTAGTTAAAGCGACTAAAAACAAATTGTTTATTCATTGTAGTTTTTTTTACTAAAAAAAAAGTCTAAATATTTTTTCTTAATTGCTTAATTTATAAAATTTAAAACAAATTAATTTTCAAAAATGACAGATTCTATCAATTGGAAAAAAAATGGATGCAAATTAATATTTTTTATTGAATATGAACACTTAATGTGAAAAAATAATAACAACACTTAACCATAAAATGTTATGCTCTTAAAATTTTGTTTATTAAATGACATATTTTTAACAACTGTACCTGCACAATTAATGGTGTTAAAAAATTATCTTCATTTTCATTTAACCTTGCTTCATACTTCTGTTGAAGAAATCTGGGAGTGTTGTCATTGACATCATCAACAGATATCACCAGCTGAACAGTATTCCTGTTTCCAAATCCATTGCTATCTCTGGCTTCAACAGTGACAAAATACTGGGCAGTAGTTTCACGATCCATACCATGTTCAGAGCTCTTAATAGTGATAACTCCAGTAATAGGATCTAATTGCAGTCTGAAAAAAATTTTAAAAACTCAAAGCAAATCTACTGGCAGAATGTCAATATAACATAACATAAAATTTAGATGTTGATGTTTATTCAAGGTACAAAAGCCTGAATCAGATTTACTTTGCTGAAAATGTCTATAGCATACTCAATTTAATTAAATCAAATAGTATTATAATATAAGTCTGACAAAATAGTTTTTGGAGCAAAATAAAAAGGGGAAAGATTATTGGGATTCCTCTAGCTAGATTGAAACATGATATCTGATTCATATGTATCATAATCAATAGTTCATATATTATAAAACGTAATTAACTAATTCAAATACAAAACATATGACATCGAAATGTTTAGGTGTCTAGACAGTAATAAATTTATTTAATGTAACGACATAAATGCTAAGCATCATTAGGATTGATCTACACACAACATGTGTAAAAACAAAGCCTTAATTAACAAGTTTTGCCTTTAAACTTAACAAAAGAGAAAAACATTTGTGTAATTGAGAATTTGGGACTTATTTTGGTCTTTTTCTTTCTTTATTCGCTCAACAGCTTTCTGAGGGTCAAGGTCTTCTCCAGGATTTTCTTCCATTCTGTTTCCTTTCTCGACAGGGCTTTTCACTCTTAAGTTTTTGGAAATCTACATTAACACAGTCAACCTATCTAAGTTTGGGCCTGCCTCTGGTTTGTGTTTTTATAAGTTTAAAATGAAACACTCTGGATATTAATGAGAATAGGCACATTCGGCANTTAATATATTTTGCTTTGGCTACATTAATACAATATTAAAAAACACTCTAATTTGTGGAAATAACCATGTGACCTGATGACAAAATTATATCTTTTGACTGTTTTGCTTTCTGAGGTTTTAATATCTTCTAAATTTTTAAAATAATTTTGTTATTTTTGGTAGTTTTTCTTCCTTTCCTTTAAAAAGTGTTTTTCATTTTTAATTCATTGCTATTTTTGTATTTTTATCTTATATATATGTTGACTTGTTATGCTAAAAAGCTTTCATGTCAAAATGCTGCTGTCTTTCATAGAATTAACTAAGTTGAAAAAAAAAGAATATTAAGACAAAAATTATAAATTTTCTTTACTAGGTTAATAATATAAAATAATACTCATTTTCATAAAGTTTGAGAAAACACTGTTTTTTTTAATATTATTTTTAATAACTAAATCTACAGAAGACTATTGCACCATCAAAGAAAGATAGACAATAAAAACAGAGCAAGAACCATAGGAAATACAAAATACAATATGTGTGGTGACAGAAAAAGGAGATAAAATACATAGTTTACAAAAAGTTTTAAATATGACTGTATTACATTAAAAAAAAACTTTTGAGTTCATTAGTGATAAATAATTATAATTAATAATAAATAAATTAAAAAATGCATATCATTTTTTTAATTAGCCTAATATTAAATAGCCAAAATAATTTTTTCAAAAATTAAAACTATAAATTAATTGTTGTTGAAAAATTCTCATTGACTGAACAGAGAAAATTGTCTCTAATTTTTTAAATAAAATGATAATGTTTCACTCACATGTATCTGTTTTTATTATTAATTTAAATTGCGCATAAGCGTTGTGTGCATAATATGCTGTCTTATAAGACAACATATTATGCACACAACTTCAGAATTTATAAAATAAAAATTTCTAACTATACTAAATAATAATACCAATAAAATAATAAGCATAATTTTTTTCCTTCTAAATTTACCTGTTTTGGATCAATGAACTTTGGTGCTTTGTTGTTAACATCCATAATTGAAATATTTACAGGTACTCTACTTTGTTGCTGTTCAATACCAATACCACCATCAAGTGCAACAACATCTAACAAATAATAATTTGACTTAGGTATAGTCCTATCTGGATCTAAATTGGCCCCACGTGCAACACTGATAACACCTGTATTTGCATCAATCACAAACTTGTCTTGAGCTCCAGACTGAATTCTATAGACCACTTGACTATTTGCCATGGAATGGTCTCCATCCAAGGCTTTTACCTGCACCACTGATGTACCAGGATCTATATCTTCAGGAATGGATTTACCATAATAGGGCTGCACAAATACCGGCGGAAAATCATTGACATCCTGAAAACAAATATTGACAATTTACAATAAGATTGTAAAAAATAGCATTGGTAATAGCAATTTACAGGAATTAAGTAAAAAAATTCTAATCGATATAAAATAATATTTTAAAATACAAAAACACCTTACTCAAACTCAACAATGTCTTATAACATTGTATTGTAGCAACCAAGCGATGCCCTGTGGTGCCACCTATGTCCTCACCACCGAGACTCAGTTCAAGTGCAGATATGAAACCTTAAACATGACTTTTCCCCTATCCCCGAGTTTTCTTAAATTTTAATTCTTTCTTTTACTTTTGTTCAAATGTTATTTATGTCTGTATTTGTGGTTATTAATTAAAATTCTTTATTAAGTGTACTTTTAGTCACTTTTGTCGTAATTTACAACATATTTGAGCTAGCCGATATTCCGCTACACTACAATATTAAAATTTCTTGAAAAGTAATAACTTCCATCAAATTTGAAAAACAAAAGTGTTTAATTGTAGGATACCTCAGAATTGAATGATTCCACATTTAACCAATCTTTATAAAAGTTTCAATAAAAAAAATACTACAATAAATTTACAAAGTATTTATTTTAAATCTGAAAATAATATTTTGAATTGCTATTATTGATAAAAACATGCAATTACATGACAACATACATAGAGGGATGCCAACTTTCTCCGGACAGCAAATATATATTTTCAAGTGGTAGTTTATCAATTGTGATTCTTGGTTTAATAAATTTAATTTAGTAGATTTTTATTCACCACTATTTCTAAATAATTCGCAGGCTTATATAATTCACCACTTTATTGCATTTTTGTCACACTATACCTCTTGAAAAGCAAGCAAACATAGTCAAATATTCGCAAAATTTACTTTGTAGTTATCTACCGTTTCTTCAATTATTTTGGCGTGTCCGGAGCAGTTGGCATCTCTGTACATTTATAACAATTTAATTCACAGAAAGGGGCAAATTAAAGAATGATCATAAAAATAATGAGAGATTTATGAAAGAAATATCTTCTTAAGTACTTCTAGTTGATTTTATTCTTTTTTCCAAAGATTATGGATTGTTTTCTCACCTGTACATATACTGTAACAGGAACATCACTATAAAGAGATGGGGTGCCCAGATCATAAGCTCTAACTTTCAACTGGAATGTTCTGATATCACCGTTTTCATTTGACATCTTCTCAAAATCAACCATGTTCCTAGGCCGGATTTCACCAGTCAATTGGTTGATGCTGAAATTCTTGTGTCGGTCACCATCAACAATTTGGTATCTTACTTGACTGTTTGAAGAACCTCTCAAATCGTCATCTTGAGCCTAAAAAGAATTAATATTTATTTTAATACCATGCATTTTTTTACTGTGCAATGAAACTAGAAACAATTTTGAAATTATTATTCAACATATATTCAGCTTCTTTGAAATTTCAATTTTTAAACTAATATTTTTTGTGCAATATTTATTTTGGAGAATATGTAAAATTTGGTTCAGTTTGGATAGTTTTATAATGAATTTTAATACTTTCTATAGATTCTAGTAAAAACCATACGCATTGCACTTTCACTAATTTTTATTTACATTTTAAGATTATACATTCATATTGCATTTATTAGAGTACATTTATTTGATACGTTTTGTGTAACTTTGTGAGGTGATATATTTTAAATATTGCTATCATAGTCATAGATTATCATAGTCATGGTGATCATAGATTAAATACTGCTATAAAACTATAGCAGTACAATAAAACTTATTAAATGTAATGAAATCTATTTAATAAGTAAATAGAAAGAGTTTTCTAAAACATTGGTGGAATTTAAATATTTTTCAATGCTTAGTTGAAGCGATGAAATTTTTTAAATTTTATTTATTATAGTTTTTTTATTAAAAAAAAAAAGAGTCTAAATATTTTTTCTTACTTATTTAATTTAGTAAATTTAAAACAAATTAATTTCCAAAAAGGACAGATTCCAAAAAGTAAAAAAAAATAGATGCAAATTAATATTTTTTACTGAAACATGAACACTTAATGAGAAAAAATAATAACAATGCTTCACTACAAAATGTTATGCTCTTAAAATTTTATTTACTAAATGACATAGTTTTAACAACTGTACCTGTACAATTAATGGTGTTAAAAAATTATCTTCATTTTCATTTAACCTTGCTTCATATTTCTGCTGAAGAAATCTGGGAGTGTTGTCATTGACATCATCAACAGATATCACCAGCTGAACAGTATTCCTGTTTCCAAATCCATTACTATCTCTGGCTTCAACAGTGACAAAATACTGGGCAGTAGTTTCACGGTCCATACCATGTTCAGAGCTTTTTATAGTAATAACTCCAGTAACAGGATCTAATTGCAGTCTGAAAAAGAAAAATGTTAAAAACTCATAGCAAATCTACTGACAGAATATCAATATAACACAACATAGAATTTAGATGTTTATTGAAGGTACAAAAGCCTGAATTGGATTTACTTTGCTGAAAATGTCAATAGCATACTTAATGTAATTAAATCAAATAGTATTATAATATAAGTCTGATAAAAAATTTTTTGGAGCAAAATAAAGAGGGGAAAGGTTACTCCTCTAGCTCAGTCCTTAGATTGAAAATTGATATCTGATTCATATGTATCACAATCAATAGTTCATATATTTTAAAACGTAATTAACTAATTCAAATACAAAACATATGACATCTAAATTTTTATGCGTCTAGACAATAATAAATTTATTTAATGTAACGACGTAAATGCTAAGGATCATTGGCATTGATCTACACACAACATGTGCAAAAACAAGCCCCTGATTAACAAGTTTTGCCTTAAAACTTAACAAAAGGGAAAAACATATGTGTAATTGAGCATTTGGGACTTTTTTCATCTTCTTTCCTTATTGGTTCAACAGCCCTTTGAGGGCCAAGGTTTTCTTCAGGATTTTCTTCCATTCTGTTTTCTTTCTCGCCAGGGTTTTTAAGTATTTCATTCTTAAGTTATTTGAAATCTCCATTAATACAGGCAACTCATCTAAGTTTAGGCCTGCCTCTGGTTTGTGTTTTTATAAGTTTAAAATGAAACACTCTGGATATTAATGAGAATAGGCACATTCGGCAGATTTATCCAGTGAATTTTATGTGGTTTACTTTAATATTATAGACAATATCTGCCTCTATATACAGCTCATAATTATATCTGTAGCTCCATACATCATTGTTGTTGACTGAATCCAAAATCCATTTCAAAACTTTTTTTTTGAAGATAGCAAGTCTAACTTCATGTGATTTTGTCATAACTCAGGTTTATGAGTCACATGTGAGCATGGGCAAAATAATTGCTTTATATAATATATTTTTTGTTTCCCTTTTTACTAATTTTGATTGTAGAAACTTTCTGAATCCATTAAGTTTTAAAAAATTTCTTTAATTTAAAAATATATATATATATTTTTAACTGTAACTGCTATAAAATAAAGAGTATGTTCTATCATCCAGATAGCCTACTCCAATTCATCTCATCTCCTAGATGGCAATCAGGTTAATACCACATAAATTTATTTGTTAATAAACAAAAAAGCCCAACAAGCTCTACTCTGGAACAGTGCCAAAATATATACGAATTTCAAGTCCCTAACGTGTTTTCGAGAGATCAGTCCGGTTTTTGATTTTGCAATGGAAGATGTTTTACAAGGTGGGGTTGCCCCAATCTAGAGGACCAGGGTGTTACTCTTCATCTGATGCCTCATCTGGCTTGGAAGGCCCTAACAGTAATTGTTTTCAGCTTATTAAATGTTAAAACTACATAAAATGTAATTTATGTCAATTTTGACTGCAGTATATATATTTAAAGCTAATTACTTGTCAGCTATTTGTCCTCTGAGGTCTGTATATCGAATACCTCTTGTTCCAAATTCTCCTGAATCTTTATCTTCAGCCTATGATTAAATACAAACTATATGATTAACAAAATATGAACATAAACTAAGACTGAAGTTTGTGAAAAAAAAAACACATCTTACCCTAATAGTTGTTAAAATAGTGCCCGCTTCAGCATTTTCAGGAACGGATACTCGATACACATCCTCAGAAAATTCAGGGAAATTATCATTCACATCTCTAATATATACTGTTACATCGGCTGTACTAGATTTTGGCATGATTGGAACAGTTTCTTGAGCAACAATCTGTTTCATAAAATAAGATTAATATGATATACATTTCATAAGATAATATATATATTTTTAAAAAAATGAAGACTTAAATGGGATAAGATAAATTTCAAATGGTGTAAAAATTACCCTAAAATTGAATTCTTGTATCCTTTCATAATCAAGAGCTAATGAATTTTTCACTCTAATAAGGAAAGAAGCTTCGTTGACGCCTTCGGATGGTGTTACGTCAAACACAGCATCATCACCTTCCAAGAAGATTTTAAAGGTGCCATTATTCCCCTAGATAAAAAAAAATTCATTTTAAAATTAAAGGAATACATAAAGTAAAATGACTGCATGCAAAGTTTTATTAGTTAATATTTGATAGAAATGGAAGAAATAAAGACAAAAATAAATTTTTTTCTTCAGAAAAACCATGTTTTTTAAAATTTTTTTTGGATGTTTTTAGTTATACACATTATCTTGTTGTTAAAAAAAATCTCTTTCATTTGATTTAGGAGAGTGCTAGTTTGTTACTGTAGTAGTTTGTTCAAATTGGCAGATGAATTTTTCACATGGTTTTAAGAACAATTTCTTTTAACAATAAACTTCACACATTATTTTTAAAAATCTTGGAACAATCCCTAATTTATATAATACCGCAGAGCCTAGATTACCCAATCATCATTCATACAGTAAACTAAGTTCTTCAGTAATCTCTTCAGTAAGTTTACTTCACCCCACTATTTATTTATCTCTCATTTTATTCTATTCTATAATGCAATCAAAAACACAGAAAGCATTGAGTACTTTTGATATTTCCATATATTTAGGTTGTTAAACATTTATTAATTTTAATAAAACAAAATATAATTTCACTTAAACTTAAAAAATATTTAAAAAAAAATTAATTTTAAAGAAATATAAAAAATTAAGTTTAATAACAATGCTATGAGTGCAAATTTTTTAAAATGTTGATAACTAGCAATTTAGTAATGTTAGTTCGTCTAGATTTAATCAGTTTTGTTTTTAAAAAAAATCATACATAAATGTCTAATTAAAGAATAACAAGCGTTTTTAAATATATTAAGACAATATAAGCAATGTAGTATAATAGAAAAGAGTGATAAAATAGGAGAGCATCTGAAATCTTTTACATCATAATTATAAGGCTATGCTAAATAAATTAATAATTCATTTTGTAAATACCTGATCGTGATCAAACACTTCAGCAACACTAGACCCCAAAAGATTGACAGGAACATTTACTTCAGCATTTTCATTGATCTCAGCTATGTACTGACGACTCAAAAACGTTGGTGTTTCATCGTTGACATCGGTTACTATAATTGTAACTTCTGTAGTCACACTGGGGGATGGAAAAACTCCCAATGCCACCTCTTGGGCCTGAGAAAAAAGTGTTAGCAATATATATGTATAAGATCATTATATTCCACATTAAAAGACAATCAGGGTGCATAGCCAGATTTTTCAACAAAAAATAAGCACATTTCAAGCACTCAAAAATTATTTTTAATCACTTTCCAAAAAAAAAAAAAAATCACAATTAGGATCTGAGCAGTAATAAAAATAATTTTTTGCTATCGCTTAAAATTCGTAATTTATAAACATAAAATGAATGAAATTTAAAATCGCTTTCAAAAACTTCACATAGCTGGTCTCTGATAAATATTGCAGAGAAAATTGTGAAAATCGCGCATTTCATGCAATTTAAAAAGAAAAAATCTATTTTTAAAAGATAAAAAATCAAACACTTTTCAGAAACACTAAATAAAAAAAAGCACCTTAAGGGCTTTTTAAAAACATACATCAAAAATAAGCACCTTTAAGCACTTTTTAAAAACGCTACGCACCCTGACAATGCTTTCTTAAGACTAAAGAAATAAATAAAAAATCATATCAATTAAAAATTTTCTTTTCCTTAGAACACTCCTAGTCTTAGAACAGTAGAGAACAGAACAATAAAGATTTTGTTCTCATAAAAAATGATCTCTATTCATTCATTGTAATATAAGATGTCCTCATACCTGAGCATTAGGTAAGATAAAGATTTTATACATTAGTTAATATAAACTTACTATCAATTGTTGTTGTTGTTCATTTACGTCGCACTAAAGCTGCGCAATGGGCTATTGGCGACGGTATGGGAAACATCTCTGAGGATCATCCGAAGACATGCCATCACAATTTTGATCCTCTGCAGAGGGGATGTCCCCCCTGCTTCGGTAGCCCGATGACCTGCACGCGAAGTCGAGCACTTAACGGAAAAACAGTTTAACGAGGACCAATACCGCACACCCTCGGTCCCTACGAAGGCTGATCCAAGTGGTCAAACACCCGCATACTGACCGTAGCCAGTGAGGCTTGACTTCGGTGATCTGCTGGGAACCGTGTCTTAATGATCAGTTCACTGCGGGACACTTAATATCAATAGTCTAGCAAGGAAAACAATATTTTTAAAAATAAGTTATTTTGCATACATATTTTTTAGTAAATTAAAAGCAATGTTCTATCATAAGCTAAATTTAAAATTGTTAGGATCTCCAAGGTCTTCCTCGGGGAAATGACTTTGCATCTTCTGAGGGGAAAACCTTGGAGTGTACTCTTCTCTGAACCACAGTCTGTTCCTGATTCACCTTGTGCAGCTACAGTGGCAACTTATAAACTCCTGACAAATCACGATTGCCCTTGTGCCTATCTTTTTTATTTGTACATGTTCTTTTTGTATGGCTAGTCAGGATATGGCTGTATTGCACTAGGACAAGTGTCTAGCATCATTTTCCTGTTCTATACTCAAGTAGAGAAATATTGGAGAGCCTGCGGTCTAATGACATTTGATAATAATAATGTTCTATCATAAAAGTATACATGTAACAATAATGCAAATAGTTACTGAATATAAATAATATAATATAAAATTACACATGTAATGTAACATATGTAATGCAAAAAATGTATACATAAAATATGCACAGATAATTGATAGCTAAAAAAAACTGAAAACATAACATTTAATCTCACCTCTATTTCTAAAATGAATGCTCCATTCCTATTATCAGTATTTTCTCGGTCTAGTTTTCCACTAACTATCACTAAACCACTTGTACGGTCAATGGAGAACAATCCTCTAGAACCTGCATTGCACAAAAAGAAACAAAATTAAAAAATCTGTTTAGTTAAATTCATCTGGTAAAATATTATATTAAATATTTGTATTATGTCCATTTCATATTAATCTTGATTGAAATAGAAATTTTATGATCAAAGTTACCTATTTAAGGAAGAAAAAAAAATTTAAAAATTGATCAGTTGAGAAAATAGCAATTCTATTTTAAAAGTTACAAAGGTTTAAATAAATGCAGATTAAAATAATAAGATAATTATTAAATTGGACGGAGAAAGAATTAAACGATTAAAAAATTTGTAACATTGGTTTTAATATGAAAATTGGATTGAAAAACCAGAGAAATGCAATATTACTAACCTTTAGATATTCTATATGTGATGGCATTATTAACACCTCGGTCTCCATCAACAGCTTTTACAGATAAGACAGCAGAGTTCTGCAATAATAATATTGTTGAAGAATTAAAAAATATAAAACTCAAATAAAATAAATTCATCCATTAAGTTTATTATAACTAGTTACAGTATCCAATGGTGAATATTAAAAAGTATGATTTTTATTTTTTATTGATTTTTTAATATACATTATTAAAAAAAAAAGATTGTCTAAAAACTTCAGATAATCAAAACAATTGATTGCCAATTTTTATAAAAAAGGTATAAAATTGAGACTTAAATTTAAAAAAAGATAATGGAGAAACAATTACAAACAGGATTGGAATCCTACAATAGAAAACCAAGTTTAGAAATAAAAAAATAAAATGAAAAATTTAGTGAAGGAAGAACTTACAGTTTATAACTAGCTGTCAGTGAAGAATATTATTATTATTTTGTTAAATGTTTAGACAAGGTGGTTTTCAATGCCAAAAGATAACTGCTTAGCTTTTGATCAACCAACTTTTTGAAAACAAATCTTTTAAGACACCAAAACGGATTTCTTTAGAGATGTTTTACAATATTTGAAAAACAAATAAATTATTTACAATAGGCAAATCTTCTGGTATTCTCGTGACAGATGGGACTGATATGAATACTGGAGGTTGATCTTCAACATCTTCTATTTTGACCACGATGGCAGCTGTGGCTGTATTTCGACGACCAGTATTTGCACGATCCTGTTAAAATGATAATATGAAAGTTTATTGCAAGAAAAAAAATAGATCAATGACTACTGAAATAAATAATAATTAAATAGAATGGCTAAAGTAATATAAAAAAAATAAAAGTTAAATAGAATATCATGAATACAAAAAGACAATTTTAATAACTGAATAACCATGAAATATAAAGGTTTCAACGTTATAATAAAATTTGAAATACTTTTTTGAAAAATGAATCTTTAATAAATAATTTTAATAATTAATTAATAGTTTAGCAGTAATATATATATAGATATATTCAAAAAAATTGTTCCTTAACAAATCTAAAATATTAAATATCAATAATGTTGAATGTTTATTTTATTTCCTTAATTAAGAAAATTGAATTAAATTTTAAAAACATACATGTTTTTTAAATGATGCAATGTCATTACAAATGAAAAAATTAAAAATTATGGGTATTTAAAAGTTAGGCAAAAGGACTGGCTCAGCACATAAGTGACTGGAAAAAGAATTTGAGTCTAATAACATGGTAGTAGTGGATTTGATACATAAGAAAGAAAGACAAAATTAGGCAGAAAAGCGTTAACCAATTTAGTGTTAAATTTTCAGGAGAAGTTTCCTTGTTGCTGCATGATTTGAAGGTGTGAAATAAAGAATAAAAGTGGTAATTTTTCCATTGAGTACAACAGTAGGAATGATGCAGACAAAGCAGAAGAATAGTAAATTACTTACTTGTTACTGTTAATGTATGAAATGTCAGCATTCCTTATAGTGCATGGCATTTTTAAGCAAAGAATGAAATTTGAGAATTATTATATTCATTGCTTAGCCATTGTATAAAATGCCTAGGTATTCTATAGAATACAAATGCTCTTTAGGCTAAGTTTGAAATATGAAAACTACTTTGTCTAGTCATTGTATAGAATGACTGTAGGTTTTTTGTCAGTCATACAAAATGATGGGTGACAATAATAATAATTTCACACACTTCATTATTGATCATTCTATAAAATGTATAGGCAATATATAGAATATAAAACATTTCGTACTTCGTCAGTCAACTTCACGCATTATATAAAATGCTAGATTTCATGCTGTGACAGTAACATATACATGAGAAAAACCTTGAAGAAGATTTTTTGAACTACTTTCTCATGTCATGGTTTTTACAATTACTCAAAAATAGTAGCAATATTTTGTGAATATTATGTCTGAAACTATTATTAAAAAAGACTTATACAAAGTAATCAGCTTAGATCTTAAATTTAATTGACAAAGAAAAATATGTTAACTTACAATAGCCAAAACCCTTAGTTGGTATAGGCTCTTTCTTTCATAATCTAATTTACCAATAAGGTTTATGACACCTTTTCCTTGAGTTGTTTGAACAGAAAAAATTTCGGATGTATCTTTATCAACATTCTAAAAAAGAAAAGAGAAGAAATTGATCATATAGAATTAGCTTCACTATTTGCATAACTCTGTGTATCATACTTGTGTGCTTTATTGTAAGATCATTGTCGAAAAATTGAGAAATAAATTCTTAAATTTATTGTGTGTGTGTGTATATATATATTAAAATAAGCACTTTTATGTTAAAGACAGGATGCATGTTTGGTGAAAATAAAATTATTCTCTATCTACCTATCTACTTCTTTAAACTTGACTGATAAAAATCAGAATAATTTAATTTAGCTCATAAAAATTTAAAAAAAAAAAAAAACACCACTAAAATGGTTAAACTATTCATCAGTGATTTTATAAAAATAATAGTTATTACACAAAAAAAAAGACAAAATATTGAGCTACCTAATGAAAAACTCAATAAATTGTTCAATATTATGTAAAACCAATTATGCCTAATCAGAGATAATTGCTAAACTTTATTTTTTAGGGACCTTTGCAGATTTAAACAAGTACACTGACTACCCTAAGAAGATATATAAATAAGAAACAGTGAAACCTCCCAGAAGCGACCACTCTCATTTCCACAGTGAAATGGTCTTTGATGGAGGTTGGTCCTTCTTAGAGGTTAGCACTATTGACTTCAAAATTGTTATCGAAGGAACATGATTTTGCGCAAACGGTTTTAACCTTAGTCAGTGTAATTTTCTTGGTGCGGAGATGCCATTTCTGTTGGCGTCATGAAAAGAGGTATTGAAGCATAAAATCTATCATTTATAAAAATGATTCCAATACTAGTGGTCACTGATATAATTATGTGTCACTGATATAATTATGTGTAAAAACAAATTTACCAATTATGAATGACAAATATATTTAAAATAAATAAACAATTATGTTTTGTTCATGTTTGCCTTTAATTTTATATCACAAAAATGAGTTAGCTTTAAAAGATGAAAAAAGATGAGTTTGTTTGAGATGCTTGCTTTTCCTAAAATAACTTTTTTTTCTAACTTAACTTTCAACTCTAGAAGTAAATAACTGATAGCATCTTATTCAGTACACTCTGACCGCAACATGAGGTTGTATCCTCAAAAAAAGCTCTCTAAATGAGAGCCTCACACAAATATTTTGAAAATATTTTAATCTACTTATTTGTTTTGTTAAACATTTTGTTTTTGAAGTTTTTTCATGTTTTCTAATTTGACCTTTTCTGCATTTGATGCAGATGCATGTCTGGTCACTAGTAGAGGTTTTAATGGTGTCTCTTAAAGGTTTTCTTCAACACAAAGTCTATGGAAAAAATTCCGTGGCTTCTAAAAGTGGTAGCTACATAGAGGTTTTCGTTCCGGGAGTTTTCACTGTATATTTTTTCAGAATATCATTCAATTAAAATCAGAAAACAAGAGGATAAAATAAAATTTATCGTAGTAATAAAATTTATAGGAAAAATAATAAAGAGAAAATGTGACTTCACATAGCAATATAACTAACAAATGGGAAAGCTATACAGTAAATTTAAAAAAAAATTAAAATCAACATCATTTGCAGAAGTTTAGTAAAATACTTACACCAAGTTGATAAATAACTTGGCCAAAAGGTCCTGCATCACTATCTATAGCTTCTACAGTTTCTAATATTTTTGGTGCAGAATCCTAAAATTTCAAGTTTTTGTTACAATACTATAAAATATGAAGAATCATTTTGTAATTAAGAAGAAAAATTATTTGCCTTTGGAATATAATTTAAGTACAACATACAACACAATAAAATTCATGAACACATGGAAATATTCCTAAACTGTATTGATCAAAAATAGAAGACGATGGTGATAACAATTAGAAAGAAAGCAAACATTTAATTAGATAGTTATAGTAGATATTAGTTTGAGACATTAACATAAATAAATTAAAAAAAAAACAAGGAAAATGTAATCATATACAGTTTTAGAAAAATAAATTCAGGAAAATTTACTTTTATATCAAAAAGCATACTAAATAAAAAAACGAAAAAAAATGTAAAAATAGTATTGCAGTTTTTTGTTAAGAAATTAAGAACCATTAGTTTTTATTCCACCTTTAAATTTCCGAAATGAAATTTAAAATTTTTATCCAGAAAAGTTCGAAAAAAGGTGATAAAAAAAAATGAGAAAACCACAACTACAAAAATGTGATTTTAAAGAATGACTAGTTTTGATTCAGTGAAAAAATGACGGAATTAAAAATTCAGATTATTGTTAGAAATTGTAGCTGGCGATTTTTATTACAGAAGATGGTAAAAGCTAACCAGTTCTTAACCCATCACATTTATATAGATTCCTACTAAATTTCAAAAATTAAACAAATTTTTTTTCCAAATTTTTTTTTTATTAGATAAAATTTCAACAAAACTCTCCCGACAATTAAAAACTTATAAACATAATTTAAAAAAAAAAATTGAATTAAAATAACCTGATTCTAAAGAATGAATGAGAGTATTCCAGCTTTAAAAGATTATTAAAAACTAATTTAAATTTGAATAATTCTCACAAAAAAAAAGACTTCTTTTAAAAAAGTGCCTTTGCACTAATGGCCAAGTTTTCTATTTAAAATCATAACTGCAAATTTCAAGATGATCTGCTATAATTATTTATTTTCCAACCAATTAAAAAAAGAAGACATTTAAACAAACATTATTTATTTGTTAGGTAAACTTATAGCAAAATTATAAAGTTTCATATAATTCTCTTAATTATTACAATATACAAAGAAACAAGTCTCAGGATTTAAGAAATAACAATTCACAAAACAGAGGCTATTGTTAATTAATTATATTAAATTAGCAATGTTTTGTTAACTAAATGATAACTGTAAACAAAAACTAAAAATATTAATAAGATTGAAAATCAAAATACGAAAGCACTTACTTCTGGAATAGTTAATAAATAACTTAAACTATAGAAATACTGGCTACTAAATGGTTCAAAAACTAAGTTAACATTAGTAAATTAAGCAAGTTAAATAAAATATTACAGAATTCATAAATAAAATCTGTTAACTACTCACACATTTCTAGATTACGAAAAGATCCCTTAACCAAAGCTATTCATGAGTCAATAAAAAAAATAAAAAAATGCATACATTATAGTCACATAAAATTTATTTACCTCTTTAACATTTATAGTTGACTTAAATGATTTAAATACGGGCTCATTATCATTAACATCCTCTACTATAATAAGCATGGAATGTCTGATCTAAAATAAAAAAAACAACAACAGAGTTAATTAAGTAGTAAAACTTATTTGTTTAAAATATTCAAATCCAGACAGATGATGTTGGTGTGCTTTTCTAAACAAATGCATGAAAGAATAAAACATTTACTTACTCATCTTTATTGTATTAAATATTTTTCTACAGGGGAAAAAAAAAATACCCGAATGCGAAGATAAAAAAAAAATTGCGCTGATATTATACGCTTCTAAAATTTGAAAACAAAACGTATTGTAAACAAATCAAAGTAGAAGTATCAAAAGAAGTAAGACCGAACTGAACTGAATCTATTTACTGAACTAGTTTCTCCATGCGAGGCATTTATGATCCATAAATGAATGACTCATTCAAAGAAAGTTGGAAAGTTCAATTTCCTTTTTGTTTTTTTATGAAAATATAGATAATATAAATATAGCAATGAAAGCGTGTTCATTTTAATATTGAAATTTATCGTATATTTTAATTTTTAAGAATAATTTTGTTGGGTAATTTTGGGGGCAAAAACAGAATGAGTTTTAAAAACGAATAAAAAGTCTCAGAGGATGGACCTGCTACTTTCTTTGTCATAGTCTTACCCTCTTTCATAATAAATCTGAAGCACGCAGAAGAAAACGCTATGCACAAAAGTTGTTAAGATGATGCATTTCCCGAATGAAGTTTACTTGTTTGTAGTAAATTTAAATGAACCAGAGAAATTCAGTTCATTAAAAAAATTCAATTTCAATCCATAATGTAGCGTAATTCATGGTAGTAGTACTTTATTTATGCCATATTAGAGAAGCAAAATGGGTTATCGGTGACGGTCTGGGAAGCATATTTGGGGATGTCACCATAAGAAGACATTTGCCATCACAATTTCGATCCCTTGCAGAGTAAATGGCTTCCCCAGATTTGATAGCTCGAGAACCTGTGCAATAAGTTGAGTACTTTAATGTAAACCAATTTAATGAAGACCGATACCGTGCACCCTCGGTTCCTTTGTTGGCTGATCAAAGTAGTCAATCCCCGCTCACTGATCGCTGACTACAGCCAATGATGCTTGACTACGGTGATCGATTGGGAACCACGACCAGTCCACTACGATACTGTAATTCATAAAGTAAAAAAATAAATAAAAGACACCTTCTGTTTTACTTGAGTATTCAACTTAGAGTATTGTATGCCTTTAAAGAATTAAAAACTTTCAATTTTCCAAATTAAGTTTGCATAATCCTTCCCCGTTCCCCCCAATAGGAACTTTAAATAAATAAAAATGATTATAATTTTAAAAAGCTACGACTCCAATTAACCAGGAGAGAATGAATACTTCAAGTTTCATGAAAGGTTAAACAATTTGAAAGCTTAATTTATTCAATTGTTAACTACGCACTACACTATGCATAGTTATGTACTTAACTATGCATTGATAAAACACTCTATAATGGAATGTGCGATTAATCATCATTTTAAAAGTATACTGGTCGATGAAAAGTTGGGTTGAGCTGTTTCAATTCCATCACATCAACGTAAACATCACGTTTCTATTTCATCAGCGATCGTTAGAAAATAGGCCCATTATCCTCTTCATTACAGGTGTACAAGTTTCTTCCATTAAAATTGTCGTTAGAGAATTTATTTGAAGGAATCTTTTTATCGTCTGCAGTGACGATAAGATTTATTAAGTTTCCACGCTCATTTCATTGGCTTAGTTCATCGTAGTTCAAGACTTTGAAGTCTGCCTTGTAATTGTGTATAACGCTTGTTGACTCGACGTGAGCTGTGTCGTTTTTAAAAGACCTCCCAAGTCGATATATATGCTCATTTTCTTAAACAAATAAAAGTCTTCTTCGTGCGTTTATATAAGATTTGCTGCGCACTTTTATAGGATTGAAGTTTTTATCCAAACATGTTTTTTTTCCTTCATTTATCTGTGTTTTAAAAACTATAATCAACCAGAAACTCTCTTTTTTAAATTATTTTCATTTATCCGTTTTTTTTTAATTTCCTGATTTAAACGATTTTTATTTAAAAAGTAAAATGTTTTTATGAAACCGTTATTAAAACAGTACTATTTGTTTAAATACAGCAATTTAATGATTTTACGGTAATTATTTATGTAAGAATTACAGTATGTAAAGTTTTTTGTTCCGTAATCTGTCCCAATAAACATGAATTTTACGTTAAAAAGTACCATTACCCTAAGAGCCGGTACTTTTTATCGTAATTTCTTACAGTGTATTAGAGCTTCACAGCACATGCGTAAACATTTCTCTAAGAGTCGCAATGTCGCTAAAGTTTAGTAAAATTAAATAAGCGTTATGCTCAATGTAAGACAAACGCTATGCAAAATTTCTCCATCATCATATGATGGAAGAAGGATAATAATTTACTTACAAACTGCCCATCGGCCAAGCGTCCGTCTGTAAGTGTGAGAACCAATGCATATGAATCGGCCATCTGAAAAAAAAATTAAAAATTAAAATGCATAATTGTAATAAAAGATTAAAAACCTGTTTAATTTTAAGTTTAAAATGAAATAATAAGTCTACATTTTAGTGTCCGTCGGATATTCTTCATTTTTTTCTCGAAATTTACTCTGATAATTCTTTTATTTCCTAAAATATTTATTATTTATTTTTATTAAATATTTTTATAATTTCATTATTAAATTATGGTAATCACTTAATGAAACTCTAGTGTTATTTTCGTCTTCTGAAAGTCAAACTTTTTAAGTCTGTTTCCTGATATTTATTTTTATTTCAGAAGCTTAAATAGAAAAATAACATTCTTTTGGTTATTAGAGATTTTAATTGTTGCTCTTTTTATTCTTATTGTTTCCGATGATGAAGAGAGCATTTAACATAATGAAGAGCATTATTTGGGAAATTATCTTAATTGTCTCCCTTTTCATTTTCCCCCATGTAATTAATCCTTTAAAACCTTAAATTCCCCCATGTAATTAATCCTTATAATTAATCCTTTTCAACTACATTGGTTTCCGAGTTCCTCTTTTAGTTGATAATTAATATTAATTTTTTTTAATAATTAATTCTTATGAATATTTAGTTTCATTAAATTAATTTTCTATAAATCCTTTCCGTAGCTCTTTTCAATTTTTTTAATGGATGTACTGATTTATGGTATATTTGTGTAAAATCAATAAAAGTTGAAGTTACATTTCAAATAATTCGTATTTATATTTCAAAATATGTATGTTAAATGAAAACTAATAAAAATACTACATTTTAAAATAAAACTAATAAAAATGGTACTTTTTATTTGTATTTTCTATAATTATAAGTTAGAACAAAGAATTAACAAATGCAAAATATTCATTTTGCATTCGTAACCCAGTAATTTGTTAAAACACACCGAAATTTAAGAGCAAATTTTGAAGTGTTTTTAGAACACATATTAAGATTATTAGTTGGAAATTTTATACTGTTAAAAATTCTGAAGTTCTACAGCTAAGCGATATGTTCATAAGAAAATGAAGTGGAATTTATCCATTATATCTGAAAAACACCAGTTACTTTTTTTCCTCTTAATTTACATAGAACGTTTAGCAATCACCATTTATAATATATATTTCTATACTATATATATATGTGTTTATAATCCAAGTCTAAAATGAATTCGAAAATATATGTACAGGGGGGGGGGATAGCATATTGTTATTTCAGTGAAGAAAAAAAAAACGTTATTAAAATCTGACGCATTATTGTTTGAGGAAGACGGGATTAAAATCATTATAGCCAATTTGATTGTGGGAAGAAATTTGAAATAGTTTTTGACTATCACTTTTAATTTCCACGAAGTTTCTACAAGCAGTTAAATGGAATTTGATGTTTTAAACCTCGTCTTTCTCTTTCATGATTCGCTAAACTTAGATAAAGTTTCTGTACTTTCAAACAATTTTTTTATGACTCTCATTGTTTATATATTTTTTACTCCATTTTTAAAAAAAAACTATTCTTAAACTGTATATTAAGGTTGTTGATTTCGGAGCATTCCGTATTTTTATTCGTTATTAATCGATATATCCTTTTAAAAAATATGTTACTTTTCAAAAGTTTGAATGTATGTAAAATATTTGTATCTCCTATATTTGATGAAATGATTTTAATTTGTTTAAGGATACGTGTAACGTATTATAGATTCTATGGCATATTATACCTATTGTAGATTTTATAAAGTATTTAAGTAATCCATACAATCTTAAAAAAATGGCACTGCGTAACTATATTGAATTAGAATATGGTTTTCTTGAACCTTTGGTTCTTTGGTTTTAGTTTTCTTTATAAACGGTGAAAAATGTTAGCAACTTTAATAAGATGTTTAAATCAACCATGTTTCCATTCAAGTTGAACCATAGTAAAGTGCAATCAAGTTTAATGAAGCATGATAACGTGGTTCCACTTAGAATCGTATTGAGATTGCAGCAAAACTGAACGATATTATGGTTCCACAACGCTTAGAATTTCAAGATATATGCTTTTAGACGTTTAATATTTCTTAGTGTTGGTGATATATGTGTCTTGGCCTAAATCTTAGACACGAAATAATTTTTACCCTCAATTTATCGGTACGTTTGCTGAATTTTAACACAGAACAATTTGATTATAAAATTGGAATATCATTCCACGACATCAGATATTAAAATTTAGTCATTCTTATCTGAAATCTGCCAAAAAGCATATTGAGTTCAAAAAACTGATGTCGCGATCAGGAAATCTAAACCTTTTCCACTTCAATAGATCATTACAAATCTCCGATTTACCAAGTTTCATTTAGTACGCCGCCTCATTGAATTTCAGTCCAAACAGCATTGTATGTCAAAAGAATGTCATTGTATCTGTGCGTAAAATATCCACCCCCAAAAGCGATTCCATCAAATAGTTCTTAAGAGTCTGTAATTACGCCAAAGTCCAGTGTTCTTCTCGGAATGTTGTGAAAAGTATCTCCGATCTGTGGAGGAAGTGACATTATTATGTAAAAGTTCGAACTACTGACCTCTCTGTCGAGTTCTTTGTTGAGATAGACGTTGGCTTCAGAGGCTCCCAGACGTTCGAACCGAAGGATTTCCTGTCCCACCGGACCGACGACACCGAAAGTGAGTCGATCGCCATCTGCATCTTCACCACGTAGTCTGTACAATAATTTGCCTGCGACAAATGAATACATGCATATGAATTAGAGCAAGATAAAGTCATTACACGTGGTCATTGTGATTTAACCTCACGCTTCTGTTCAGTCGTTTGATGAGGAAAGAATGAAAGTAAATGGATAGTCGCTTGTAATCTTTTGTTAAAGTTCAATTAAGAATTTAAATATTATTTAGAAAACGATTTTACTAAAAATTAAAGTGTTGAAGCATTCATACTGAATGCATTGTTCATAATGGTGAACGTAGTGGAAGAGCAAATAAACTATGATGAAACATTAATTAGGATGGAATGTATTGTTAAAAAATGAGCGTAGTGGAAGAGCATACAAAATATATAAAAGTATTAATTATGAATGCATTGTATAAAAGGTGAGAGAGCATATTAAATATATCAAAAGATTGACTAGAATGCATTGTAAAAAAAAAGCTTATTAGGAAATTATATAAAATGTGTGAAACATTGCTTAGAATGCATTGAAAAAATGAATGCAAGGAGCTTAGTGGAAAGTACATAAATTTTTTAAAAATATTGCTTAGAATGCATTGCAAAAAGGAAGAGCTTAAGGGAAATAATGCTAAAACATTGTACATAAAACATGCATGTGTGAATTGCATGCATTAAAGTATGCACATAGTATTTAGAATATGTTTAAACATTAATTAGAATGAATTGTGAAAATAACGAGCTTAGTTGAAAGTATATAAAATGTGTTGAAGCGTAGCAAACGATGTATAATTAAATCATCAACTTATATCGAACGCTTCTCTAATGCATCTGTGTTAAAATAAGGCAATTATGTTAAAATATGGTAATTATAATTTTGCATTACATAATTATTTATCTCCAAGATCAGAAACTATTTTTTTATACAAATATTTAACAGAAAAGTAACAGTGCAAAAAGTTAATATTAGATTAGAATTTAAAAATTAAAAAAAATTAAAAAAAAACTTTTGGGGATTAAAAAGCTTTGAATGTTTAAAATATTTCATGATACAGCACGACATTCAAAATCAATGAATCATGTTCTAAAATATTTTAGTTAGGGTTAAAAGAACTTAAACTTACCAATACTATCTGGTCCTTCTCGAACCTTAACCACAATTTCGCTTGCCCCGTCAAGGGCAAACTTTGGCGGGGAATTAGCTTTGACTGAAATAGAAATATATCATTATTTAATTAAGTAAAAAATTTTATTAGTCCTTACGTAATTAAGTATTGCATTATAGGTAAAGATTTGGCCAACTCATAAGATTTCTTTTAGTAAATTTCAAATAAAGATACTTACACATGTAATTACTTTATATTATAAATTAAAATTGAAGCATGCATTTGCCTGAAATTATCCCGTAGCAACAAAAAACCCAAATTTTAATTGAATATACTTATACATGTAATTACTTCATATTATTCATAAGTTAAAATTTGAAGTATGTATTTACCTGAAAGTATCCCGTAGCAACAAAAAATCCAAATTTTAAATAAAGATACTTATACATGTAATTGCTTCATATTATTCATAAGTTAAAATTTGAAGTATGTATTTACCTGAAATTATCCCGTAGCAACAAAAAGCCCACATTTTAAATAAAGACACTTATACATGTAATTACTTCATATTATTCATAAGTTAAATTTGAAGCATATATTTACCTGAAAGTATCCCGTAGCAACAAAAAACCCAAAGAAGGACCACCTTCATCACCCGTGCTCCCTGCATAGTACCATGGCAGGACCTAACAACAGGTCACGGCTACCTGCGAAAGATAAAACATTCAGTTATTATCACAGTGCTGTGTAAAATAATAATTTTAATTAATTAATTAACTCGCTTTTTAGAAAATAATCCATAATTTAAATACAGCTAGAGATCTTTTAAGACAAGACCAAAAGTAATAAAAATATAAATATCAGGTAGCACTTTGAATTAACTTTGCTAAATACAGTCCATGGTCAAATTATTAGACAAACTATAAGATTATATGTGAAATCTTAGTTATTAGGTGATACTATACAGCATTGTTTTCACGCGGCTGAAACCGGTTCAAACTTGTTTATGTTGGTGTATCACTTGGTTAGCATTGCAATGCAATTCGTTAAAAATAAGTACAAATAAGAAGTATATAAAAAATCTTCTGAATAAAAACCCATTACATGTATGTTTAAATATATAAGTATTGTATATAAACTCGTGCAAAACATGTAATTATTAAAACCCTATAGTGCGTCTAATAATTTGGTCTTATTATTATAATATACTAATATAATAACTGATGTAACAAACATTCTATATTTATGTAATATATTGTCCAATTTATTAAACTTTCGAATTTATATTATATATCGTCTAATTTNATTGTTAGCTTGTTTTTTATAGTTATTGTTCTTTTGGCATTAATTGTAAATTTTATTGTTAATAATTGTTTATTTTTTTGTTTGCTTTTGTGAATTTAATTTAATTGTTTGTATGCTTCATAGTGAACTTTGTGATCGGTGGCGTGCCCAAAATATTGTGTCGCGTGTTACAAGTGGCACGCGTGCCATTGGTTCGCCATCCCTGCTATACAGTATTATTGTTTTTTCGCGGCTGAAACCGGTTCAAACTTGTTTATGTTTGTGTATGAATTGGTTAACATTGCAATGCAATTCGTTAATAATAAGTACAAATAGGAAGTATATACAAAAATCTTCTGAATAAAAACTCCTTACATGTATGTTTAAATATATAAGTATTGTATATAAACTCGTGCAAAACATGTAATTATTAAAACCCTATAGTGCGTCTAATAATTTGGTCTTATTATTATAATATACTAATATAATAACTGATGTAACAAACATTCTATATTTATGTAATATATTGTCCAATTTATTAAACTTTCGAATTTATATTATATATCGTCTAATTTAACCAATTGATACACGAACGTAAACAAGTACAAACCGGTTTCAGTCGCGTAAAAACAATAAAGCTGTATAGTATCACATGATAATGAAGATTTTACATAGAATCTTATAGTGCGTATAATAATTTGGATAGAGACTGTATAAGTCCCTTAGAGGACAAGTAAATTGTTACCTAAACCATCAAGAATGTATTTAGATGAAAATAAATTAAGATTAAGCTTTTAGAAACTTTTTATTACCAGAAATACAGTTAATCCTGTTAAGTTGACTACCGATGTATGTTGAAGACATGATCAAGTACCAGAAGGGCAAAAATAATTAATTCTTTCTTTTTAAGTTGACCACTTGTCTAAATGGACTACAATGTTTTGCTCCATAAGTTGACAATTTATACAGGTTTTACTGTGAGAGTTTTAATCAATGTGGTCTCTGTGCTGAAACCAGTTATCTGTTAATTATTTTCCATTATCACTATTAACATCATTTTCATACTCTTGCAATGGTATGTTGTTAATTGTATGTATGTTGATCATATGGTCAAGTGCCGAAATTGCGAAAATAATTAAATTCTTTCCTCTTAAGTTGACCACTTGTCTAAGTGGACCATGAAGTTTTGTTCCATAAGTTGCCAACTTATACTAGTGTTGCTGTTGGAGCTTTGATCAACTTGATATTTGCGATAAAATAAGTTATCTGTTAATTATTTTCCATTATCATTATTAACATCATTCTCATACTCTATTTTTTTTAAAAACTTATCAACAGTTCAGTGCGTTTAATTTAGACTTTAAAAACGCTTCATACGTAGTATGAAATAAAAAGATAACAAATTAAATTACAACTGAGACTCTTAAAAAACATAACCAAAAGGAGTCTTAGCAAAATGACTAAATGTAGAAAGAATAACCAAAAAAAGTCTACAAAAGAATAACCAAAACTAGTCGAAAATTACTGAACTTGAATATTAAGTCACAATAATAAAGAAAGAAAACACAATAAACTATTTCAAATATGTTTCTTATATTCAGACAAAATGTTTCAATTATCTAAGAAAAAAATTGAGATCATCATCACTTATACTCCATATATCACTTTATTAAATTCCTCCTCTTTGACTAGATTTAAAAAAAGTATTATTTTTAATTCACTTTCTAAGACTGAAAGGTCCTAAAATTATGCATATTACTTTTGTGAAACAGAACAATTTACGACAGATGGAAAAGTAAGGCTTAAAACCCACTCTGAGATGCACATTTAATTGTCATATCACGTAATTTCTTTTTAAAAAAAGAGTGATACGGAGTTGTTGACTTTCTCAAAGAAATGGAATTCGACTAAAAATGAAATGCTTTAGAAACTGAAGGAGAATGGGAAAGAATTACAATTGCGTGTCGCGTTAACTCACGTTTCGAACAATGCAATTTCGAACAATAATATTTTACGAGCAATTAACACATGATTGCATTATGGTTTCACTTCGGAAGTTTCGCTAAAAATGATGTACGAAAAAAATTAATTTAGTTGAAATCGTTTTATTGTGGTAAGAAATTATTTTTGTTCAAACAATGGGTTCTTTTTTTTAATGCAAAAGCAATAAAATATTGTTACTTACATAAAAAAATGTTTTGGTTTTGAAGAATAAGTCAGGAATGTGAAGTATATTTTTTCTCAATTTTTCTCCATAAAATTGTTTTTTGTATTCCAATTATGATAAACCAAGATGAACGCTGATATTGTTTATTATGTTTAACAACTAAATGATTAGAGTAAATTGCAAAAGTATTTTTAATTTGTAAACGATAGTTAAGTACCCAAATAAAAAGTAATAAAAAAATTTATGGAAAATTGGATCATTAAACAAAAATAAGAGTTTTTCAAATTGGCTTGTTAATAATGTATACATAATAATACTCAGTTTTATCTTAAAACCATAATAATTATTTGATCATAAAAATAAAAAAATCATACCTAGAATAAATAAAAGATAGTATTATTGTTTTAAAAATAAAAATATATGTTTATTTATATGGATATGTAGTATAGAGTTCATCAGTTCATTGTGTTAATGTTTTTTATAAGCAGATTTGAAGAATTTAGAGGTAAACATGTTAATAGTCATTTTAGAAGATTTGAGTATATTAGCTTTAGGATGGAAGCATTAAAAATAAAATTTGTTAACCATACATTTCTTTTCATTGAAAGTGAGTGTAACATGTTCTTAAAACAAATATAGCTTACTATAACATGTTCTTAAAATAAGGACAGTTGACTAAAACATGTTCTTAAAAGAAGTCTGAGCGTTTTCAAAATAATGCTTAACATGCTCGTCCGTTAAGTTCTGCATTCTTTATAAAGGGATGAAAACACGTTAATTCTTATTTTAGAGGATTTAAGTAAAAGCTTTAGAAGGTATAGAAATATTAGAAAAATGTTCTTAAAGGAATTTTGAGAGTTTTTAAAATAATGCTTAAAATGTTCATTCATTACGTTCAACATTCTTAATAAAAAATAGCTATAGATCTTTTTTCGTGATTTAACAATAGAAAAAAAATTAAACGAGGGAGGAGAAATATTTAAATAAATTAATAAAATTATCATTATTTATCCAAATAACTAAACTCACATGTTAAAATTTTTTATGGGTTTTTAGAAGTAAAAAGAAAAAACATAAATAATATCGAATCGGCATGTTCTTTAAACAAATGTGGCTAACTATAATATATTCGTAAAATAAAGATAGATGACCTGCAGCATGTTCTCAAAAGAAATCTGTTTTCAAAGTAATGATGCTTAACATGTTTGTTCATTAAGTTTGGCATTCTTAATAGAAAATTGTTAAGCATTGTTCATAATTTAACAAAAGGAAAAAAAACTTCAAACGATGAAAAATAAATATTTAAATCAATCAATAAAATTATAATTATTTTTTCAAGTAACTGAACACACAGGTAAAATATTTTAAGAGTTTTTCGAAGTAAAAAAAATCATAAATAATAGCTAGTCTGCAGAGAACAAAAATTAATTTAATTCAAGATTATTTTCTTAGATAAGCTATTTAAGGATCGAAGATGCCGCTAAGTGCATTATAATGAAATATTTGTTAGCTTTTTCTTATTGATGGAGAAAGTTAAGTGATGGGAATGCTTCCAAAAACACACCAACTCTCAAGTATCATTATCTAAATGATAACCACTTGTTAAACATAGAGCCTTGAACGCGTTGAATTATTATTTATATATCGATTTCTAGTTAGGGTTTTATATTAGATGAAAGCACGTGTATAATTTTGGGACATGGCTCTGGTCTTATACTTATACATGATGGAAGAGGCAGTTACAGTTACTGATGGAACAAATAATTATATTCCTTTTTTCTGATTTGTATTTGAATTTCTCTAAATCAAATAATTGTTATAATGAGCAATAATATTGCTTAATAAAACGTTACTTGGTGAAAAATGTCAAAGAGAAATATATTTAATTTAATGGTGATTACATTGACCTTTATTTAAGGGATTCATAATAAGGATATATATTTTATAAAAAAAAGAGAAACTTTAAGGAATTTGTTTAAATTTTTTTATTTGTAGCACTCTAAACCCATTTTTTGTATGACTTTGAAAACAATATTAATTTAAAGAGTTTCGATGTCTACATAAAAAAATCCACCAAAACTTCATCATTATTTACATTGATTCTTTTAGTGAAAGGAAATATTCATATCCCTTTCAAGGGTTTTAAGGCACTTAATGTTGTTTGGTTTTTGCTTGATTTTCGTATTTATTTAAGGAGTTTGATTTTTGAAACCTGCATAAAAAGTTCTAAACTTTTCCTTATTTACATTGATTCTT